GCGGGGGCCTCGGGAGCCGGACCCGGCCGCCCGGCCAACTTGCTGTGTGACCTTGGGCCTCGCACCCGGCTTCTCTGAGCCATTTGTTTTTAAATAATGGGGTTGCCCGTATATTTTCTCCTCTGAGGTCACGCCTGCAGGTTTTTTACGCCTCTGAGGACCACGTGCATGCACCGTGCACGAAGGAGGCAGGCGTGAGGCCTACACCGGCTCTGTACACACCAAGAGCTGGGGCCTTAATTGTTGCTTTTGCGAGCCTCGCCTCGCCTCGCTGATGTTCAGAAACAGGTGGGAGACACGAACGCTTCTCTGGACCGGGCCTGGGCCCCGTGCGGGGAGGGCGGAGTAAAGGGTCCCCAAAAGCGAGGGCTCTCCTCAGACCCGCCAGGATCCCGGGGAACTGGGCTGGCGCTGCCCAACTGGAACCCCCGTGAGAGGCCGGAGGCGGGCGCTCTGAGGTCAGCGCTCATTTAGCCGATTAATTTTGATGTTTAGTTTGAAGGGGGGACTTGTGGTGTAATAGAAGATTCTAATCACTGCCTGTAATTACAGAGCAGATCAAGCCACTAATGACGGAGCAGGATAAATCAGCAACCACCCTGCCGAAAGGGTCTCCGAGGCTGAAGTCTTATCGAATAGAATAATTACCGAAGTCCCGCCGTCTGGGAGGGTCTCTGGGTAGAGCTTGAGGGTGGGGGCTGTGAGCCCTCCAGAAATCCTAAGTTTCCAAAACGTCTTCCTGTGGTTGGGTTAAAATTGGAAATTACCTCAACTGGCAAAGAGAAAAGAAAAGTTATCTTTAGATGGTTTAGTTCTCTCGATGAGAGCAAAGATTTCTCTTCGTCCAGGCTTTAGGAGGTCCAGGTCAGTGCCTGCAGTGTGGAGGGGTGTGGGGGCTGCTGAGGCAGGTGCTGTGTGGTTCCCCTGTCACAGACCTAGGGAGGGAATGCGGTGGCCACCGGAGGTGTGTGGGGCTTTAGGTCTGCCAGGCCCCTCCTGTCTTGAAACTTGGGGTCATGGACTGAGCCCACTGGGTGGAGGAAGGAAGAACCTTCTGTGTTCTGGTCCCCCCCCCAGATGGTCTTGATAGGCATTCCAGGCTGGTCTCTAACTCCTGGAGATCTTCCTGCCTGTCTCCTGCATGCTTGGGGTTACACTTGGTTAGGTGACCTTTCTAGTGAGTCTTCAGCAGAGAGGATCCTAAATAGAAACTGTAGGCCCTCCTTGGAGCGCTAAACCTAGAAAAGAATCTACCTTCCCAGGAGTTTGAGAGCCACCAGGTCTGTGGAAGGGCTGTTCTGAGCCCCTGCTCCTGCAGGTACCCCTGGAAAGAAGTCGCCCAGGTGCCAGCTGGGGAAGAGGACTCCAAGCCTCTTCCTTTGGGACCCTGCAGAGTCCATCTCTCTCTTACACTAGGAGAGCGCTGCCGGTGGGCCCGACCCCGCCACCTGTGCCACCCGCCCCTGGCATTGGGGTTGAGCTGGAGTGTGCCAGGCTGTGGTGTCGTCAGCACAGGCCTGCAGATTCCAAGGCCCCTGCTTCCCCTCCAAGCTACCTGGCATAACTTTCTGTGCTGCAGCCGGCTCGGGGCCTGGTGACGTGTGGGACCCCAGCAGCCGCACCCCACACCAGGCCTGGGCCCTGTGGGGGTGGCGTTGGGCAGGACAACAAAGCGCCCTTCTGCGCAGGAGATAAGGAGCTGATTAGGCCAACTGCCGGCTGCCCCACCCTGTGGCAGCACAGGGGGCGCCACCCAGAGCCCGGGCCCTTGTGGGGTGAGGTCTGGGCCGGTGGATCCCTGTGTTAAAACCACTCCTTTCCTTGCAGCATCCCAGCCGGCTTTCCGCCTGCCCTGTCAAGAAGGAAGATGAGCGAGTCGAGCTCGAAGTCCAGCCAGCCCCTGGCCGCCAAGCAGGAGAAGGACGGCACTGAGAAGCGCGGCCGAGGCAGGCCACGCAAGCAGCCACCAGTGAGTCCGGTGAGTCCCAGGACGGCTCTGGTTGGGAGTCAAGTGGGTACCTGGCAACTGAGAAGGTGTGGACGGGCACGCAGGACGCAGTCTTTCCTCATGTCTCCTCCCCATGCCCTGCATGCCCAGGAGTGGGGGCCGAGGACCTCACGGTGGGGTCTAAAGCCAGGCCCTGTAGCAACTCTGTGGTTTGCCTGTGGAAAGCCATCACCCTCAGTTTCCTGGTCACTGAAGACTTCTGGTTCCATTGACTCGGTTGCTTATTTGCAATATGGATTGAACCCAGGGCTTTGACACTGAGCCCTCTTAGTAGATTTTTTTTTTTTTTTTTTTTTTTTTT